CACCCCCCACACACAAAGTGTTCCTTAGCAACAGGTTTGATTTATAATGTTGATTATTCTGTCGGCCCAAAATGCCACACTTTTTAAAGGAAGATGGAAAAATGTAAAAACTTGTTTTACCATGTTTGTGTCTTAAGTAGGTTCATGATCTACATTGGGGCCTGGAATGATTATTTTTTAAAATTTAAGTTTGCATGAGATAAAGTTTAATAAATGGAATTTTGCTGTGTGGTATAGCTTTGTTCTAAATTAGCAACAGGTGTCTGACAACTGAATAGAATTCAACATTGAAAACAAATTCAATCTCTAAAGGGTCAAGGGACTTTCCTAAATAGTTGGCATAGAAGTAAGTAAACCTGAGATGGTCTCAGGGACATGTCCCACTTCTATTCCTTACATATTCAGAAACTAGGTACAGGGTTTGAAGAATTATACACATTTTTCAAAAGATGTTTTACCTAAAGCTAGCAACAAGAAGAAGTAAGGATTTGTAATAGAGAACCTCACATATTCTAGTGGGTGTGGTGAGTGGGGGAAGACGCTATTAGTAGGAAATGTAAGTTAAGGGACTGCCTTGACATGACAAAGTGTGCTGTAAGGGCCATCAGATTTATTCTTTCCATTTTAATTAGTCTTGGGAATAGAATGGGTTCTTTTTAGAAGAGCTTGATGATTGAGAGAATACTTTACAAAAACAGAGGAAGGCTTCCTAAAGAAAGTGTCTATTTCAGCTACTTCTCATACTGAAGTCTGTTTTATTTTTCCCAAATTGTCCATACTGTGACTCAAGCCAGGGGATTAGAGAGAATTTATTTTACATTTGTAAGGCAAGAGATGATTTCTGATATTATATGTGAGAATAATTTTCCCTGATATGAAAAAAATGTGAATTATTTTCAAAGTATCTTCCAGTAGTTTGTGAAAATTGGGGCTGAACATGAACAGCTTTCATGTTACAATAAATGTGGGTTTTCTCATTAAATTCCAAACTGTTTGAATTTTTTATAAAGAGGTATAACAGCTGTTAGTGCTTAGGAATAAATCATTTGCAAACATTTAATCAGGACACAGTATTCATTTTTAGAATGTTTTTACACTGTAGTTTAAACTAATATTTTGTATTCTTGTGTGGTGAAAAAACTCAGATTCTACAGGCCTTAAAACCAAAGACTGTGATTCTTATTTGAACTGTCTTCTATAACAGATTTCAATAAAGCTGGACCAACTTATTGTCTTGGCCTTTTTCCTCTCCTATAAAAGGATTTGTTCTAGAACTCTTACTCTGGGCTGTCTGTAAATGAGTTTGGGGAGACTCTGAATAAATATGCAATATTTACATGTTCATTTCAATATGACATTTGTATCTAGTTATGGCTTCAGGTGAAGAAAGAACATGGACATTCTTATGAAAACAATTTAGCATTGAATTAAGGGAACCTGATGTTTTTTAGGCTTGAGGATGCTAAATGAGCTTTCTTTGTGTCCTCTTTCTTATTTCTCACTTTAATCAGAAAAGTATCTTACTTTAATCAGAAAAGTGAGAATTAGGATATATATGCTAGGTAGGTTTATGGAATATAATAGCGGGGGAGTGCCAGATATAGCCAGACTGGGATCTATAGAATTATTTGGGTTTTATTAGCTAAAGTGTAAAACATGCAACTTGCTTTAGAGTTCTGCAATCCAATGTAATAGCCCCTGGCCTAATGTGGCTGTTTAATAAAAATAAAATTAAACATTCAACTTCTCAGTTACACTAACCACATTTTAAGYGCTTAATAGACAATGTGCTAGTGATTGTTATAGTAAATGAAAACAACATTTCCATCATTGCAGAAAATTCTATGGGACAGTGGTGCTCTAAAGGTAGGCTGCTTAGGGCCTACACTGTTCACTGTTCTTAAGCCTTGTTATGACTGGAGTGTATTAAGGAAAACATACTACTCACCAAGCAGTACACATTATCCAACACAAGAGAACATGAGTTTATAAAGGCATTTAGTTTATTTTTCAAAAAAATACTTTGCTAGAAGGGTTGAGTACTGTAATTTTACATGATCATAATCTTTTTAAATTCTTTTCTGACCAACAAGTACCATTTAAGTGAACAACTTGTCTAGGTCTGCTTTTGTAACACCCAATACAATTAGTACTTCTCTGATGGTATTCCCTAGGTCTTAATTATCTGTAGGCCAGGAGGCACAGCCTAGCACATAGCAAAGTATGTGCTTTATAACTGCCAATTAACTTGGTTTCTTTAATATGATTAAGGAGAACAGGTAACTGGCATATCKAATTCAACTATAAATTTACCATTTCTTGCCTGAAAGGTTGTGAATCTCAGAGACCCCCCTCCCCCCACCAATTACTTAACCCAGGGAAGCAGTGAACTACAACTGTAGAGGAAAAAGGGCAACATATCAGGTGAGTGCCGGCTGTGTCCCAGTTAGATCTGTTATTGTTTTGTTCCAACTATAAACTCAAGATGACCATGTTACTCATATTCAACAGTAAGTAGAAAATACAAGGCAAAGCCAAAAATATGTGGGGATTACTGGCAACAACTGCTTCCTTTTTCTTCCTTAAAAAAGCTAACTGAAAGTTGATTCTCTCTGATTCTTGATAAAACTAAAAGATGCATTAAATGTATGTTCACTGCTACAGATTTAACAAAAAGAAAGGCCACCAGAAAGAAGCAACTATAACCTGGTAAATTTGCCCATAGAGACAACTAGACAGCTGGTTGAAGGCTTGTCATAAATTGTTCTTTTGTGCAAGGTCTGCACTCAGCCCCCAAACCATAAGATCTGTCTTATGGGCAGCCAGACAGTTCAGTGCCAGGCCAGTGATGGTAACTCAACGCTTTTCGCCAACAGCCCAGAAGTGTTTCAAAAATGCCTTTGTTGCAAGGAAGCAATTACTGCAAACATCAGGACAAAAGACTATCTAGGACTTTAGCTAAATAGAGGTTTATATCTAATTACAAGAAGTAAAAGCAATTAAGTGTGCTGAAAYCAAGTTTCATGATTGACAGAAACATTTTAAAAACAGACTTAAAATATTCAACTTTAGGCTAAACCATGCCAGGTACCTCAGGATGCCCTATGATGTTGGAAGTGAAAGAGTAACTAGATATGGACAGCTCACTTAAGGTCTCTGTGTTCATTCCTGCATGCCCCAGTGCTGATAATGATGATCATATTTCACACTGSAGGAAGTGTAGCAACTCAAGCTCTGGGCATCACAATTCTTGTAGGAGGGCTAGGCATGTGGCTCAGTGGTAGAGCACTTGCCTAGCCCACAGGAGGCCCTGGGTTCAATCCCCAGCATTGCCAAAAGAAAAAAATTCTTTGTGTTTCTGCAGAATTTTTTCTCCTCTGTGTGGTGTGTCTGTCAGTGGGGAAGTGAGATACTCCCTCATTCTGAAGAATGAGGCATTTGGAGTCAATAGGCTAGTTACTTACTGGTTACTTTGCAACAACCCCACAAAAAAAAAAAAAAAAAAAAAAAAAAGCAAATGTCTCATATACATTTTGAAAGATCCCATGTTTGCATAATTATGTCTGGAAACCTTAAGACAACATCTCCACACTATAAATTCTCATCTTCCCTTATGGTGACACAACCTTACCTCTAGTAGCATAAAGTGCCTCTACTCCCAGTATTTAACAAAGTAAGAAATAGTGACCTGCTTTTATACTAAGGAATTTGAGTCTGGAGTTGTTGGGAGAGGCTGCTTCCCAGTGTCAACACTGGTTTACATGCATGTGCATGTAAACAGTCTGACTCAACCCTCAACTGTTGGCAGTCAGCCTTGTTTCAATCATAACTTACAGCCAAGTTAAAGCATTTTAGCTTTTTCTTTTCAACACACACCTAACCAGGCATAAATTCGAGTATCTTCTGCCATTTATTTGGTAGTTTTCTGAGTAAACATTTGAATTTGTTACCAATATATTTTCCTCCCCTTGTGCAGAAAAGATAATTGGGTAGTTTAACATGTATCCTTCCTTATTTCCTTTCCTTTCAAATATGTCACAAAAGGCCAGATAAAAGATCTAAGATCCATTACTTTCATCTCAGTGCAGCTAACTATAAGGAAAGGGACCACATTAGAGCCTGTCYCCTGAAGATAGAAGATCAACAGAAGGAAAAAAGTAACTCCCATGCTAAAATGTCAGGATTAGTTGTGCAGAAGCCAAGTGAGCCCTGAATGAGGGGAGATCACTAGAGAGGAGGGAAACAATTCTAATATATTACTGCACTCCTTGGGAACCAAGTTTTCTTTATTACCTTCCCTCTTCTCCCCATGCATCTGCAAAAGAAGTGTCAGCCTTCAATTTTGAATGTTCATATTTCAGATACACTAGAAATAGAAATGTTAATATTAAGTAAATCTTAAATTCTCCCATATGGGAGGCAACACAAGGAAAGTAGCAACTTAAAAATTACTTCTCAAAAGGCTGAATATCTCATTTGTTTGACTACTGGTTTGACAAGACACCAAGCTTTTTCATAGGTCAAAATCAGAAAAAAATAGGTTATTAAATAAATGTCTCATTATAAGATTTAGGCTATGCATTGTAATTCCTAAGACCAGGACTGAAATCTCATTTGATAAGGTATCTGGCCCCAGTCACTGCCTTTTTCTCATACTTGAATCAACTCTTCCAAAGTAGGCTCTTTGCTTACAAGTGGGCCTCCATGGACAGAACACACCCATCACTTTACAGCCAACTTCCATATCACCCTTCAAAAGGAATGCATTTCATTTTCTAGGACTCCCTTGGAGAGGGAAGTAAGTGAAAGGTGCTGCTGGTAAAAGTAAAACAGAACTGGCTTTGCAAAACCTCTCCTAGCTACCCTTTATGTCCCAGGGAACACTGACTACTCCGAGTTATACTGAATCAAAAAACATTTGCATTTTTAGGTTCTGAGATTAAATTTTAAACCTGTATTCAGTTCACGCTAACTAAGTTTCAAAAGCTGCACCAAATCTACTAGGCTTTTTTTTTTTTTAATACTCTTCACTGCATGCTCTGTCTATATGCATGCGTTTGGATAATAAATATTAAATATGGGAGGGACGCGCGGAATCCATAAAATTAAAAATGAAACCAAACTGAATATTAAAAAAGTACATGGTAGTTGGAGAAATGAATAAGGGCAAAAAATAAATTTGAGGTAACAATAGTGGCCCAACACCACTGATCTGAATATCTGTAAAAATTCAAATGAGTGTTTGGAGATTCAAGTAACAAACCATCTGTTCCAACTTGGTCAGACTTGCAGAGCACTGCTGAGTCAGTCCAGCAGCCGGCACTCACACAGCTCCTTGTAAATTCTCTTCCGCACACGGGGCATGTCTTCTTGAGAAAACTGGAAAGGCTGCTCTAAAGCGAGGCACTTGCAGTACTGCAAAGGTCCCAGAAACATGTAAATGGCACATGAGGTTGCACAACAGCCCAGCACCAGATGCAGACCTGATAGAGTCTAAGACTGTATCATAAAGTTTACAGAAACTTGTGACAACATGGCTTTACAACATTTATCTCCAAATTATAGTAGGCATTTCAGGMAAGTGTATAGCTAAGGATCACCCTCCCTCCAGGCCTAACACTGTGAAAAGCACCAACTGATGAAGAGGCTCTAATTCTCAAAGTACAATCTGCTGAAAATGCAATAGATCTTACATAGCCTTTGGGAACCTGAATCTTGTTTACAAACCCCAAACATTTATGAAGTTAAGAATAAACCAATCTTCCAAGATCTTCACAAATCTTYAAATTTCACAGATAATTTCCTTCATAAATGTGTGTATAACAGAAATTTTTCCATTGCCCTTTTAGACCATCCAGAGACATGGGAGCAGTTTTAGACCATCCAGAGTCCATGGAATGCAGTACTCTGGGAGTGGTGGAGCATGACTGTAATCTCAATAACTTGGGAGGTTGAGGCAGGAGGATCACAAGTTCAAGGTCAGTCTTGGCAACTTAGTGAAATCCTGTCTCAATATTAAAAAAAAAAAAAAAAAAAAAAGGAAGTGGTGATGGTGGCTGGGGATGTAGCTTAGTGGCAAAGCACTCCTGGGTTCAATCCCAGTACCACAAACAAAAACAAAAACCAGTGGCAGGCAACCAGCAGGTCTTTGACATCCAATAATTAAATTTTATTTATTTATGCAGTATTTCGGATCGAACCCAGGAGCTACCTATCATTGAGCTAYATCCCCAACTCTTTTTATTTTTTGAGACAGAGTCTTGTTAAGTTGCTTAGGCTGGCCCCAAACTTGCAATTCCTCACACAGTCACTGGGATTATAGGCATCTACCACCATATTCAGCCTGCCAATGTTGTTTTTATTTTATTAAGTTAATCCTTTAAATGCCAATGATCTATGATACAAAACAACCCGAGTCAGTCTCTAGTATAGCTCACTACTAATCTCTGATAAGACATGGATGATATCTATTTTCCATTCTTGGCTTGACATGTGGTTCTTCCTAATGATAACACCTGAAAATGCACTATTGCATCTCAACAACAAAGGGAGAAAAAGGAAAGTATTCTGTTGCCTATACCTAGTATCATGTACAGGGACTGCCATCTCCCTTTCTAAACACAACAAACTTATATCACAAACTGTAAATTCAAAACAAAATAAAATAAAACAAAACAAACAAAAAMCAGTATTTCTTTACCTGGAGCACAAAGACTCCACAGTCACTGTCATTTTTCTGTTGTGGAATACACTGAGGGGAAAAACAAAAACGTCATTAAAATAAGATCAAGTACTTCTTTCCTCTTCAGATAAACACGAAAAAACAGAATGAGATAGGAAACCTGTCTCTGTCCAGGACAGCTGGTATCGTGTTCATTTTATAAAGGCATCTGGCCACATGAAAAGTGCTATCAAAGGCATCCACAAATTATAAAACAATATTTTACCTAAATATGGGAAATGAAATGAAAGTCCTATTTTAAAAACATCTATTTGGATACTTAGTTTTGCAATCAGTTCACTGACAAGTAAAAATGGAACTGTGGATGATCACAGAACATTTGCCTGAACTCTGAACACTTAGATGGTGACAATTCTGCTTAGCAGTCTTCACTTTTCATCTCTATAAAGCTCCCAAAACAACTGGTTATTGTATTCTGCCTCAAGTAGGAATATGAAAGATATTGGCTAAATTTAGAATACCTAGAATTCTAGCTGGGTCAATTCAGAAAATTTACAAGTTTAGTTTTGACTTGAACTGGTTTACTAGATAATTAGAAATAGAAAACTTGAGCTTAACTGTAAAATTTAATATGTGGTTTAGTTCAAGGTTGAATTGATAAATCTTGATTCCTCTGGGACTGGGTTAAAGGTTATTTCAAGACTCTTTGTCTATAACACTGGGTCAATGATTCAGGCAGACCTGAGTTCAAGGACCTGCCTCTACCAATAGTTCTGAGGAAGGTCTTCTGAAGGTCACACTTCAGTTTTCTCATCTATAAAATAAAGATGCTGTTCATCTTTAAATGACCACCTACCTCACAGGTTATAAGGATCAAATGAGATCATTATATAAAAACACTTTAAAAACAATAAAATAAAGACTAAATTGTCAACACTGGTGTTCATGACAGGATTGAGATTATGCCCAGAAAGGCACTCTGGCCCATCAACACCTTTAATGTCTAGAAACCATAACAGAGCTACATCCGAACTGTCCTCACGCTGAAGAACTAAGGACAGGCCTAGAAAGTAGCCCAGTATTCTTGCTCCCATAATGGACCCAATAGTCACTTAGCATTTCTCTGAGTCTGTAAGTGCCATGAGGTAAGAGGTAGGTGCCAAAATCCCCAGCCAAAATTCGTTTTTCAGCAGAGCAACTACATCATTAGCAACTGTGCCAGGGATGAAAGGACTCAAGTTACCTGCTTTCAGCAAGCACTGGGCAATTGAGTAGCCAGATGATAAAGTAATAAATTGGCTTAATCTGAGTTGCCTCCCTAGAGTCTCCTCCAAGCTCTTTTTGGTCTCTGTCAGTAGTCTTGAAATGCTCTTACACACAACCGCCCCTTGGATCATTCCCTCCCCTGGACATGCCCATTTTATTTGTATCACATACTTACCTTCGTAACAGCTGTCTGCCAACCCTGAAGAAATTCAGGTCTATTTTTTTCTCTGGCTTCAGTCAGCAAATACTTTCTTATATTCTGGTTAAAAAGAAACCACAACACAGATGCTGTGTTCCATGAGTTGGTGAAAAATGAAACCTGCCCGTAGCAGGTAGAAGCAAAGGAGGTGGCAACTGTGGCCCCACAAAATTGGGCAGTGTGTGCACGAAAGAGTTAGAGCTGGAACTTTATTTCAGAGCTTTCATATCATTAAGGAGGACTCAGACCTCCTGTACTCAAGGTATGCACTCAAGAGTGTGGGCACTGGTATTTGCTTGATTAGAATATTTATTGAGATGGTTAGCCACCTTTCCCAGCAGTAAACTGGCAAGATAAAAAAGTCTTAATCAGTGCCAGTGCTGAAGAGAAGGAAGAAACTCGTGGCAGAAATCATTGACTAAAACTAAATGAAAAAAATCTAGCTGAAGATAAGTTTCTTAGTTTGGAAGGTGACAAAAACAGATAGTTATCTCTACCCATTCTGAATACTGAATATAGTCAAGGGCACTACTGAAATTTCTAGACTGCTGGAGTTTCAAAATATCCCTAATGCCCTCAACCTCTTTGTGCATATTTCTCTCTGTATCAAGAGATTATGACTGCATGTTGCTCTTCTCCCTAAACAAGTAACTTCAAGTTCTCAGAATAACTACTATATATAAATTCACACATAGAATAACGGCAAAAAAGACTTGCCCTTAAAAATAATCACCTACACCAACATTTACTAAGTATTTATAATGTGCTGAGTGCTGGGGATACAGTGGTAAAGAAAGCTGTTTAAGTCCTCGCTCTCAGAGAATCTACACATTTGGAAATTTTAATAACATTTTTCATCAACTCTTTGGAAATACAGGCCCCCAACTTTCCTTCAGAGCCACTTTTATTACCCCCACATTTCCTTAAAACAACTGCCTAGCTTCACCTACCTGGATGACTCTGCTTGGCTTTAAATGACTTTTAGTTATCACCCCAAACAAATTGGTTCTCAGGGTCTTTCTCCAAATGTGCCAAGTTATTAGCCAATTGTAATTTGACTGAAAAAATTTTTGACTGGTCAAAAATTCAGAAGATGAATTTTTTAATAACTGCAGAAGAACCAAGTGCCTAATCCAGAATTGACTTAGAAATCAAAAGCCTGTTTCAAAAACAAAATCTTTTTAACCATCAAGAAGTTAGCTCCATGAAGGCAACTGTCTAAACCTTCTCTGACTCCTCAGTGTCAGTGCCTAACACAAGCAGAAGCCTGGGGTAGTATTTCCTAGTTGAAATGATTTTTGCAACACTTTTGCTCTCCTTGTTTGTTTTTTTCTATTTGTCCAGGGAAGAGACAGCACTGACAGTCTCTGATAAGTGAAGGATGTGAGACAGGCAAGGAATTAAGCAAAGTGAACTGGAAACACACAATCACATTTGATACTGGAYTGACTCTCTTTTGTACAGGAGTTAGAGCACTCTGGGCCCAGGAATATCCCAAAGTAGGGTTTTTTTCCCCCTGGATTTCTTAGAACCACAAACATGGATTTTGAAAATTTGATCTTCTTAGTTTTGCTTATACTTACTTTTTAAATTAAATGTTAAATATAAATTTAAATATCTTTATTTTAATATATTCTTTAATATATATTTATATATTATACCACATAATATACAATAATTTATATATACAAATATATGTACCACATATATTTAAATATATACATTAACATTTTAAATTTATACATTTAAAGTAAATATATAAATATATATTCCTTGTTAATAAAAATTAGAATAACCAAAATACGGTGAAATTTCCTTTATTAGTCCTAACTTCATCATATACTAAATCCTCACGTATGCATGAGTTATTTCTGGATTCTTCATGCTGTTCCAATCAATTTTGATTTCAGTGATTGCTTTTGGATAAGTATAGAAAGGAGTAGGACTAATAAAGGAAATTTCACCGTATTTTGGTTATCCCATGCTTTTTTTTTTTTGAGAAAGGGGATCCCCCTATATTATACACACTGGTCTTGAACTCCTGGAAGCAATCTTCCTTCCTCAGCCTCCTGCGGAGCTAGGACTATAGGCAGATGCCATTATTCATTGATATTTAATTTTTTTATTTACAAAAATATATCTTTGTATATTACATATACAAATATATATGTATATATTACACATGTACACACTTGTATATTACATACAAGTGTGTACATGTGTATATACACACACACACATATATGCACACATAAATGTATTTCCCCCATAAGCATATTATATCGTTCTGCCACAACTGGCATTTTCTTTTGGTGGTGGTGGTGAGGGGGACCAGGGATTTAACCCASGGGCAATTTACCACTAAGCTACATCCCTAGACCTTTTTATTTTGAGACAAGGTCTCACTAAGTTGCTCAGGGCCTCACTAAGCTGCTGAGGCTGGCTTTGTAATTTCACCTCTCCTGCTTCAGCCTCCTGAATCATTGGGATTATAGGCATGTGCCACTATACCTAGCTCAACTGGCTTTTAAAAACTCAATGATCTTTCCCTGTTAGGATGTAACGAACCACTATATTTTGTTTTGGTTTTGATGGTACTGGGGATTGAATCCAGGGTCTCGTACATGATACCCAAGTGCTCTAAGACTGTGCTACATCCTCACCCCTTCTTTTAAATTTCATTTTGAGAGAGGATCTTGCTTAATTGTCCAGATTGTCCTTGAACTTGCTATCTTCCTGCCTCAGCCTCCCAAGTTGCTGAGATTATAGGTGCACACCCCACACTCGGCTCAGAAGTTTTAAATTATGACATGGTTAAATTTATGAAAATATTCCTTATGTCTTTTTTTTGGGGGGAGGGTTCTGTGTAAGAAAGCATTCCCTATTCAGAGAACACAGTATCGTCTATATTTTATTCAAATGCTTTTAGTTTTAGTTTTGTTTTACAGGTAGGTATCTATTCCATCTGAAATGTTTTTATAATTAGCATAAATATGAAGTAAAGATCTATATTTACTAATTCTCCCAGTGTCGTACTTGAATAGCCTATCTTTTCCTAACTTCATCATATACTAAATCCTCACGTATGCATGAGTTATTTCTGGATTCTTCATGCTGTTCCAATCTATTTATCTACTCCTAAGCCAATATAATTATAGCTTTTTTTTTTTTTAAATATTGCTAGGGATCTGAGTGTGATGATGCACATCTGTAATCTAATCAACTTGGGAGGCTGAGGCAGCAGGATCACAAATTCAAGGCCAGCCACAGCAATTTAATAAGATCCTCAGCAACTTAGCAAGAACCTGTCTTGGGGAGGTGAGTAGGAGAGGACCAGGGATGTAGCTCAGTGGTAAAAGCATCCCTGGGTTCAATCCCCAGTACCAAAAATTTTGTTAAAAAGCAGTTTTAAGGGGCTGGGGTTGTGGCTCAGCGGTAGAGTGCTCACCTAGCACATGCAAGGCCCTGGGTTTGATCCTCAGCATCACATAAAAATAAATACATAAAATAAAGGTATAGGAAAATAGTTTTTTTAAAAAAGCAGTTTTAAGGGGAAGAGAAAAGAAAAAAAAAAAAACAAAAACAAGGCTGATAAAATCAAATTAGGGCATGTATCTCAGAAGGGGATCCTGATCTTGGACAGCTACCTCTCACCTGTGGAGTCCTCTTATAGTTCTTTTCTTTACCAATAGTTTAGAGGACATTCACAACAGAAAATGTTCCTCTATGGTACTGACTTCTGCTCTTCTACCTAGAACTAAGATAGGACTGGGTCAATCACAGATTAAGTGAAAAAAATAGGATATTAACTTACCTCTACACAAAACTTAAAATGAATGCCTTGGGAATCATAAAATGAAATAATTCGATTAGAGAGTGTCACAGTAATGAGAGACCAGTGGACTTCCAGGTGAATAGGAATCAATAGAAGACTCTTTTTAAACAAATCCACCTGATTAAGAGAAGAAAATACAGCTGTCATCACAAAACCAACAACATACAGCAGCTTCTTTACTGACTTCTGACTTGTCCAAGGACATAAAAGTAGACAGTGGTAGGCCAGTATTTGAACCCAGGTCTTATTTTTAAATAAAGCCCATGCTTATAACTACTAAGCTTTAACACACAATAAGAAAAATGAAGAAGTACTATTTTTCATTTAACCCACTAAAACTCTGTTTTATCAAATGGTTTACCTTTTTCGTTTTTCTCCCCCCCCCCCCCCGCCCCGCCTTTTTTTTTTTGGTACCAGGGATTGAACCCAAAGGTGCTCTACCACTGAGACATATCTCCAACCCTTTTTACTTTTTACTTAGAGACAGGGTCCCTTATTAAGTTGCCCAGTCTAGCTTCAAATTCACAATCCTTCTGCCTTAGTCTCCYGAATCACTGAGATTATAGGCATGTTGCCACCATGCCTGGCCTTCCCTAATTTTCTTGGGCACATTTTGACCTAGACTCAACGTTTTAGGAAATAACCATGGTACTGGAAAACAGAAAAGGTCTAAGTCTTTCACCTTTCTCTGGACTCGGTATAACAGTTAATATCATGAGCTTCAAAACAAGTCTACTTAAGTTCAAATTCTTCTTCAACTATGAAATTCAGAAAGCAATAAAACCTATCTTATGATGTTGTTGAGAATAATAATACTTGAAAAATGCATAAAACTGTGCTTTTAGTACATTGTAGATAGCCAATAAATCTTAGCTATTATCATTATTACTCCCTTGTCTTTCAGATGTCAAAATCAAGAACATCCTTAATAATATTTACATACCCTTTATATCTGAATCCATCTTTTACAATCTTAACATATCCTTTATATCCTAACACATACAATTTAGAAATAGTTGTTATTGTATTAAAAAATCCAGTTATATCTTGGGTAATAGATGCTCCACTAAACATCCATAAAAGAGTGAATTTATTTATTTTTTAAAGTTAAAACAATGACAATACTATAAAGTATGTCAGATTCTTAAAAACCAATCTCTCAAGTCTTCTTTTTTGCTAATAATCAGATAATTTATTCATGCTATAAATAAATCTTTTATCAGTCTATATTACCTTACAAGCAAAGCACTTTAGTGTTTTTGTTTTTCATTTTCTATATTTATAAACCTGGAGTTGGGGGAGTTGGGCAAAAGAAAATGTAGGGCCAGGGGTAGTGGTAAAGGGCTTGCTTAGTTAGCAAGTATTTGAAATATTTATTCAATCCTTAGCACCACCAAAAAAACCCAAAACAAAACCTAATAAGAAAATAGTTCGAGTATCCTTAAAGTTCTGAAACCACAAATGCTGCAAAATTCAACATTACTTTAGCATGATGATACCACAAGTAGAAAATTCTGCACATGAAATTATGTTATGGGTCACAGCCTAAACATAGTCACAGAAGCTGGGGGTATAACTCAATGGTGGAGCACTTGCCCAACATGCATAAGGCCCTGGGTATACAATTCCCAGTACTGCAAATAAATAAATAAATAAATAAATAAATAAATAAATAAAATTTTTTAAAAAATAATAAAAACAAACACATATAACTGAAAATACTATATAAAATTTAATCTTCAGATTATGTATATAAGGTATACATTAACCATAAATGAATTTTAGTCTTGGGTCTCATCCCCAAGATATCTCATTATAAATATGAAAATACTCCAAAATGGAAATATTCCAAAATGAAATCCAAAATCAAGCACTTTGAGTAAGGAATATTCAGTCTATATTAGATAAAATAGACACTGATCTTTTTTGAGGGGAGAAACAAGTCTTTTCTGTCAAACCAAAGAGACTTCATTTTAGTTAACTTCCTGGGCTCCCATTTTCTTGAAACTCAGCTGTCTTTCTAAAGTTAGTATTTCCTCAATAGTCAATTTGCACCTAAGATTGTGTAGTCAGCCCCAACCAATGTGTAATGGCCAAGTACCCCTGTGTCAGAGATAAAAGCCAAGCACACTGCCTGCTTGCAATGCCTGCTTTCAATTTTGATTGCTGTGTATCCTTCTGCACGTAGAAATAAAATTTTTGCCTTGCAGACAGAGCCAAATAAGTCTGTGTTTATTTGGTTCTTAGGGCTTCCAGGACCCATCTCCTACTCCATTAATTCCAACAACAGGGCCTTGTTAAATTACTTAGGCCTTGCTTAGTTGCAAGACTGGCCTAGAAGTTGTGATCCTCCTGCCTCACAATTAAACAATGAGATTCAAAAGAGAAAAAAAAACTATTGCTGAGAACATGCCAATAATCCCAGTGGTTCCACAGGCTGATGAAGGAGGATCGAAAGTTCAAAGCCAGCCTCAGCAACTAAGTGATGACCTAAGTAACTAAGTGAGATCCTGTCTCAAAGGGTCTGGGGATGTGTCTCAGTAATTGAGGGACCCTGGGTTCAATCCCTGGTACCAAAACAAAACAACAACAACAACAACAAAAAACCCTATCACATTAAAAAGTCTGTTTCTAAGTAACATCGTATTGGCCTTAAAATTATCTTTCCACTCAAAGTGATTAATTTCCATTTCAAATCTAGAATAAAAAATTTAATACCTTTTTAGTCCATCTCTTAACTCCATTATATCCTTTGGTTACCAGCTGTCTATGAAAAAAGCTGTTGAAGAAGTGAACCTAGAACAGACACCAAATAAATATAAGGAATCAGATTACATTAGGCTGTGCCCAGATTTAACTTAAAAAAAAAAATAAAAAAATTTAAAATATCTGAACACAAAATAATTTAAAAATACATATATATTCAAAAAATTTTTAAATAAAAATGTAATGTTCTAACATAAATAGACAAAGGGAGAGAAAAGTTTCTTCAACTAGTAGTCAAAATATAGAAAATATATTACTTGATTTATAGAAAATTCTGTTTAAATTTTTCATGAGAATGCTCTTACAGGTGTGGTCTATTGTCAGTGGGGTAGCAATTGGATTTCCTGAATCCAATCAAGTAGAGACAAATGATAAATCTCTCCAAAATTTTTAAAAGATTGAAAAACTGAAATAGGAGCTGAAAAAAAATGAGCAAACCAATACTTTGAACTCATGAGATATGGATTACAAAACTCTCCACCTGAAGGATGTGGATTTGAAGACTCCCATACAACTACAAGAAGGTCTTAGCACWATCATTTCTAGTACCAAAAATTACCCTTGCCATACAGAGTATCAGGTCCCACCTCCTTGGATTCAGATTCTGGCTATAAGTGGTATTGGCTCATTTAAGTTAGTCTATACCATGGTCTTGAAGCAGGGCTCTAACTTGAACTCACTTTAGATAATAAGACTATTTAGTGTGTGGTTCTAAGAGTATGCTCATTAGACCAGAAGAATCAGCATCACCTGGGAACTTGTTGGAAATCCAAATTCTCAGCCCAATTCCAGAGCTGCTAAATTTTAGCACAAACTAGCAATCTGGTTTTACAAACCTTTCATGTGATTCTGATGCACATTCACTGAGAACCATTCAGCTTAACATGGATAAAAAACAATCTGTTTAGTTATCTGTAAAAGCAGTGACTCTGTAACTCTGTCCTTTAGAATCATCTGGAGGACTTACTGAAACAGTGCTGGGCCCCAACTCCCATTTCTGATTTAATAGAGCTGAGCTGGGTTCTAAGAATGTGCATTTCCATTAAGTCCCCAGGTGATATTGACACTGCTAGTCTGGGGACCACACCTTGAGAACTACTGCCTTTGAATATGTTTAGATTTAAACTTTTTAATGATTAAGAGCATTTCATAAAAAAATCCAACATATTAGCTTCATGATTTGAATTTATAATGCATAATGAATTGATGATTATAAGTGGAAAGCTATCAAAGTTTTCTATATTGAAAAACCGTACTAGAATCTGCAATTAGTTATATTTATCTGTTTAAGTWTTTTGTTTGTTTGCTTTTGCAGGACTGGGGACTGAACCCAGAGGTGCTCTACCACTGAGCCATATCCCCAACTCTTTTTATTTTTGAGACAGGGTCTCGCTAACCTGCCTTAGCATCCTGACTAGCTAAGTTATGAGATTTAAGAACTTGAAAAGTTCTGCTGCTCATCAGGTATTTGAATTTTCAGAAAAAAGATATCAAATTTAAAAATCATTTTAATATGTAACAAAGCTCTTAAGAGAATTTAGAGCTGGATTATCTATTTGAATTGATTAAAATTAAAAAAAAGAGAGAAAAGGTGAAGATGAGTAATATTTTACATTTTTATAAAGAGGGTAAGACTTTAGTTGATTGATTGATTTAACTGAATCCAGGAGCACTATTACTGAGCTGCATCCCCAGTCCTTTTTATTCTTCATTCTGAGACAGGGTCTTGCCAAGTTGCCCAGGATGACCTCAAAGTTATAATCCTCTCACCTCAGCCCCTTTATTAATAAACAAAAAAAGTCCCCTTATCAATAAACATACCTACCTAGATACAAATAAGAAAGAAAACATTGCTACTGTGACTTTCTTATGCTGAAGCAGGAGGATCACAATTTAGTGAGAACCTTATCTCATGATAAAAAAGAAAAAGGGCGGGGATGTGGCTCAGTGCAAAAACATCCCTGGATTTAATCCCTAGTACCACACATACACATAAATTAATAAAAATGTGTATTAATAAATTTTGCAATAGGATTTCCCTAAGCTCATATAAATATATAAAGATAATACATAAATGTGTACATACATAATATAACCCTTTTAAAAAAAATCTAAGTAATTATAAAATAATTAAAGTTTGAAAATAAAAAAAAATCACTCCTTTTTAATATACAAGAATTTCCTTAAGAGGAAAATTTTCACTTACTTTATCTGGGACTGCATCCATTATCAGCTCACCGTACATATTTATGACCTATAAAAAGTAAAACCAATTTACTAACCCTATACAATTCAGAACAACCTAAGCAGAATGTATAACATTCTGAATACTAACAATAAAGCTTTTCAATCCTGGCATTAGTAAGTCACTTCAGTACACATTAAAGAATATTTGATTAATAAAAGTAAGTATGAGACCAGTCCCTACAATATTTTATTGACCAACATCCTTTGTAACTTTCCTGCAGTGAGAATCTGCATTACACTAACCTGGTCATTTAGCCAATTCTGACCATCCAAGGTTGCCAGATCATCCATATCCAGCATATGTTTATTGTAGAAGATGCGGAAGTTGCATTTTTGATGTCTGGCCCGATAGTTTGTTATTTCTCTATTGATAAATGGTTTTCTGAAACAAAGATTTTGAAAGAAAAAAAATGTGAGTTCTACTCAATGCACTATTAAGTACCCTTTTTCTCCTAAATCAAGAGAAAATCATATATGCCAATCATTTTATTTTCAAGGACTTAACTTTCACCACTGGCATACCTATTGGAAAAGTCTTCATTAAAGACATCTTTTAATCTTCCAAGGACATCTTTTTCACTGAGTGGGACCAAACTTCCATATTTTTTCATAACCTCATCTAGAAATCCTTAAATAAAGGAAGAAAGGAAAGTTAAGATGGAAAGACAAAGCAATTTCTCTTAATACTTAATCTATAAACAATGCAACACATACTTAAATGTACATTATAACATAGGATTATACTCCGTATAAGGAAATATTTTAAAAGTTCTGACACTATTCAAACAAAGTGGATTAGGCCCTTACCACTCTAACCTAGAGAAAAATGCTGTGAGGTATCATTTCGCAGTGCATTTTTAAACTACCAATGAATTGTTAGAGGAACTAGCTAAAACTAAAGATTGATGCCTTTCCATAACTTAACCTTAGTGATGAATTCTCTCTCATTAAGAGTAACATCCAGAAAGTTGGACACAATGGTGTGTGCCTATAGTTCCAACTACCAGAGGATAAGGCAGAGCATTGCTTGAGCTCATCAATTTGGGACACCCTGGGCTACTCAGGGAGATCCTGACTCAAAACAAAACAAAAAAACCCACACCCCCCACACACCCCCACACACAGAGAAAACATCTAGTTGGGTGCACCTGCAACCCCAGCATTTGCAATGCTGAGGCAATAGAACTGCAAGTTCAATGCCACCCTGGGGCAACAGAGGGAGATCCTATCACAAAATAAAAGGCATAGGGATGACAGGTGTGGTGGCACATGCTTGTAATCCCAGAGACTCCWGAGGCTGAGGCAGGAGGATTGCAAGTCCAAGGTCAACCTCAGCAACTTAGTGAGGCCCTGTTTCAAAATAAAAAATTAAAAAGGGTTGGGGATGTGGATTAGTGGTTAAGCACTCATGGGTTCAATTGCAAGTACTCAACACTGAATAGAAATATGAGTGAGACTGACTGACATTAGGGACTGGAACTATGCAGCAATTAGTCCTATATAACACTATTTTTATGACTTTCAAATTACATCTAAAGGCTAAATCACCTTGTTAAATGTGCCTGAATTAAGTCACAATTTAGCCAAGTGCAGTGGTGCACATCTGTAATCCCAGCAACTCAGGAGACTGAGGCAAGAGAATGGCAASTTTGAGGGCAGTATTTAAATCAATTTAAGTAGTGTGAACATATATACACATATATACAGGTATATAATATATACGTTTTGTTTTTAGTACTGGAGAACGATCCCAGGGGTGCTTTACCATGGAGCTACCTCCCCAGTTCTTTTTTTGTCTTATATGAATTATTCCTCTTTATTGTTTAAAATATTGGTTATAATTATATAATACAATTCACAATATATTAATTACTTGATATATAGATATTCATTGTAACTTCAAAATATACATTCTTTTTTAACCTTTTCCTTTTTTAATTTTTTTCAATAAAACTTATATGATGTATCATACTAATGAACTTTGAGAACTCATTTTTAAATTTTCTTTTTTAGATTTAGTTTATTTATTTGTACTAATCAGTTATGCATGACGGCAGAATGCTCTTCTGATTCATTGTACACACATGGAGCACAATTTTTTACTTCTCTGGTTGTACTCAAAGTAGGGTCACATTATTCATGCAATCATACATGTACTTAGGTTAATGATGGCTGTCTCATTCCACAATCTTTTCTACCATAATGCCCCTTCCCCCTCTCCCCCATCCAGAGTTCTTCCACTGATCCCATGCCCAATCCCCCATTAAGAATTAGCATCCATGTATCAGAAAACATTTAGCCTTTGGTTTTCTGGGATTGGCTTACTTCACTTAGCATGATATTCTCCAACTCCATCCATTTACCTGCAAATGCCATGATTTTATTTATTTTTTATTGCTGAATAATATTCCATTGTGTATATATACCACAGTTTCTTTATCCATTCACCTACTGAAGGTCATCTAGGTTGGTTCCACAGTTTAGCTATTGTGAATTGTGCTGCTATGAACATTGATGTGGCTGCATCACTATAGTATGCTGTTTTTAAGTCCTTTGGGTATAAACCAAGGAGAGGGATAACTGGGTCAAATGGTGGTTCCATTCCCAGTTTTGCAAGGAATCACCATACTGCTTTCCATATTGGCTGCACCAATTTGCAATCCCACTAGCAATGTATGAATGTGCCTTTTCCCCACATCCTCGCCAACACTTATTGTTGTTTGTATTCTTGATAACTGCCTCCTTTTTTTTTTTTTTTTTTTTTTGGAGACAGGGTCTTGTAGAATTGCTAAGGCTGGCCTTGAACTTGGGATCCTTTTGCCTCAACCTCCTGACCTTGCTGTAGAGGTGTGTGATACCATGCCTGGCTTTTTTTTTTTTTTTTTTTTTAATCCTTTAATTTTTGATGGTATTGGGGATGGAACCTAGGACCTCATATGCTAGGCATGAACTCTGCCCAGAGCTACATCCCAACCCTATATATGCATTTCTGGGATGATCCACTAAAAAAACATACCTAAAAAGGCTCTAGGAAATAAAACCAGGACATTATTTTTTTGGTGACACTAGAGATTGAATCCAGGGGGGTTCTCCCACTAAGTCACATCCCCAGTCCTATTTATTTTTATTCTAAACTGCTAAGCCTCTAATTTACAATCTTATCTCAGCCACCCAAGTAGTTGGAATTACAGACATGTGCCATCATGCTCAGTCCAGGATATTATTTCTAAGTAAATACAAAGAAACTGCAGAAAGGCTTAGATGCTCACAAAAGCAGAGGCATGATAGGCACAATTCACTGATGAAGAGCAGAGAAAACAACCACCTAGTTATCAGGCTGACAGGTGAGCCTATTGAGTTGAGATGGGAAAAATGAGGACAATATGTTAACCATATATCCTATCCAGTTCCCTTTTGAAACTTTTAAGAATTGCCTCCACTATGCATTAATTCAAAACGAACAGGAAAGATCAAAACAGAGTACTGGGAATGGTGTGCTGGGTTGGTTTGGGGTGAGGGACTGAAATGTAAAATCTGTATTTCCCCCTGTTAATCATCCACCAGAATAGCTCCTATTTTAAAAGGCTTAAACTAAGAGCAAAAGTCAGGGAACAGCAACATTAAAAAGGATGCTTGCTTATGCCTGCTTCTAGTCTAGGCTTTAGACAAATAGGCCCATTGCAACGTCATCATTTCAGGAAATAAAGATTTGGGTCTTCTATACTAGGAACAGAATGTATAGTGTTTACATTACATATCTTAACATTGATCTAAGCATAGCCTTGTGTCTATATTGGAAAACAGGCCCAAAGGAAAATAATCGATTCCCAACACTGGATAAACTGCATTTAAAAAACTGATTTTATAGAAGAAAATGCCTCTACCAACAAAAAATTAAGCTTGAGGCTCCACCACCTTGAATGAAGCTCCTCAAATAAGAAAGTGGTCTCCTCTATCAGTGGTACACCAGATAGCCAGGCATGGTGGCACAGGCCTATAATCTCATTGACTCCAGCTGAGGCAGGAGGGCCAGCCCCCATAATTTAGTAAGACTCTTGTCTCAAGAGATGGGTATGTAGCTCATTGTCAGAGCACTGCTTGGGTTCAACTCCAAAACCACAAAAAAGCAGGGGGCGGTTAACAATGAGATGGGGGGGGGGTTAACAATGGGATATAGACCCCAATTTTAAACTAGTATCATAGGAAAGAGGCATTCTTATTAACAATATTATTTCTGGGTGGTAATAATATGGAGATTTTAAGTTTTATATCTGTGTTTTGTTTTTGCTTGCAGATGATAAACATGGATTCCTTATGTAATAGAAAGGCCCTACAAGGATGACAATGTCTCTCACTGATAACACACCCACCATAATCTCACTGGTACCAGAAGTAAAACAAAACATCATTAAGAGCATTTATCATATGACAACACTCACATATTTCATCTAATCCTTAAAACTAATCTCTGTGTCAAGATACCATCTCTGCTAGGTCTGAGAATATGGCACATGTTAGAGAACTTGCCTAGCATGTGCCAGGCCCTGGGTTCAATCCCCCCCCCCCACCCCCGCACTATCTTGTCACCCCCCCCCATAAGATATTATCTCTGCTGTACAAATGAAGACAAAGAAAACTTAGAGAGATTAAGTAACTACCCTCAGGACACCCAACTAGCACAGAATAACTAAGATTCTTATGTAGGTTATGTGACTAGAGAAACTATGCTGTTAACTTTTATGCTATGCCATCTCCAAAACAAGAAATAGCTATTTTCTCTACAAAAATAACTTGGGGCTGGGCACCCTTCGCACACCTTATAGTACTAGCTACTTGCAAAGCTCAGGAAGGAGGATTCTGAATTCAAGGCCAACCTAGACAAAAGATTAAGAACCTTTATAAAAKAAATAAAAGAAAGAAATGCAACCACTTGGTTCTACAACAAAATACAATACACACCTCAGAAATGCCATCAGTAAAGAAGGCATGAAGTACCTCAGAATAAACTTAAGGAATGTGTAAAACCTAGTGAAAAGTTGCAAAGCACTAAGAAACTAAGTCAGTTCTGTTTTTACACAGGAAAACTCAACATTTTAAGAATATAATTTTCTCCAAATACTATAAACAAAAAGCATACTTATTTTCTTTAATTTATAAAATAAATAAAAAACTCATCTTGGGATTGATAAATTCCTAGAAAATTTTAAAAACAATTAGAGGTGGGCTGGGGTTGTAGCTCAGTGGTAGAGCACTTGCCTAGCATATGTGAAGCATTGGGTTCGATTCTCAGCACCACATATACATAAATAAAATAAAGGCCCATYGACAATTAAAAAAAATTTTAAAAAAACCTCTTTAAGAAAAACAATTAGAGAGATGAATAAGGGTACAGAAGAGGAGTGCATAATTTTTCAAATTATGAAATACCTACAGTAATTAAAGCAAAATAATGCTAGTATTTTCCAGAAGGAAATTCAAAGCTAGTCKGTATTTCTTAACCACAAAGAATGAATTGCTCAATAAATAATATTAGACTACTGCCTGAACTTACAACCAATTCATTCTGGTGGAAAGAATTATATTACTCCATTTTACTTTTTTTTTAAAACAAAGAATTATATTAAAAAT